TTGAGCTGGAGAAGAAAACCCCACTAATATTTGTCAATGTCCAGCTGCCAGTTTGGATTAGAATAACTTCAGAGAAGGATGATTTTTCAGTTGATATCTGCTAGAGCTCATGATTTCTGATCCAATAAATTAGAACAAAAGCATTCAAGTCATTAGAACTCGCCATACTTTTAATTGCCAACCAATTGGCTGGCTACAGGGCTCTTTCGTTAAACATTCTGCCTGAAGAAGGCTTTCAGAAATAGCAATTGTTTCAGAAGAGCCCTAAGATGTACGCATCCTTCGTTGCTGCACTGGAAATAGGAAGAAAAGAAAAAGAAAAAAAAAAAGTAACTGGAACCATATGAACAGATCTCTGTTGAAGAATGGGTAGCAGTAATTAAACCAACCATGTGGCTGTCCTTTCCTGTAGAAAGAGGAAAAAAAAAAAATCCCTGCTGTGTTTAGACTACCTTCAAATTTTCATAGTTTCCTAAGGCTATGCTTACAGCAGGGCTGACTTACATTGCTGGGTAAACCTGCATGGTTTTGAAAGAAGGCTAACCTTTAAAAAAAGAGAAGAAACAAAATATGATAGCTTTGTGTGGAGTCAACATTAAACTAGACACAAAAGTAGCATCTCACTGCTTGGAGAGAGAGAGAGCTATCTTTTACAAACCTGAACCACACACTAGGAAACTGATACGAATGGTTTATTTCTGTTATAAATTTAATTTTTTTTTTCAAGAACTGCCAGTGAGTAAAAGACAAGTGAATGATTATTTATTAATTTCATTTTTTCCCTTTTAAAACAAGTTCTCCTAAGGCATTGAACAGCACACAAACGAAGCTTCACAATGATTCGTAAGTACTGAACAGCATTCCCCAGAGGGTGACCAAGGACATTCCAGTGTTTTATATCCATCCCCTGCTCTTCAGTCATTATTCACTGTTCTCCCTTTCCTGTGTAACATACAAGTTACAAGATAGTCTGATAGACTGAGACAGACTACGGATAAACACAACTTCACATAAAAGCCTTCCACATTGCACTCCCTATGACCTTAACCAGGCTCAAAGTAGGACGGTAGGCTGGTCAAACCCACATGCCTGATAGTCCTTGACTGCCCCTCGGCACTGAGTACTGGTTAAAGGACTAAGCAAGGTTATCAATTTTTTCCCTTTGAGGCAGAAAAGAAGAATTGCTTCCTATATTTAGGTGGGAAGAAAAACCCAAAACCAAAAGAGGCATTGCATAGAAGCAGCCCCTTACCCACTGCTGCAGCTTCTTGCCACGGGGCAGATTAGAAGCTTTTACGAAACATCACATCACACCAGGTACCCCTTCTGCCTCCAAAGGAGTACGTCTCTTGCTTGTGAAAATTTCCATTTGTTTCGGATTCTAGATTAAATATTAATGACTGAAGAGCATTCAAAATTTCAGAAGCAGAAGTTCATTAAAAGCAAACACTATGCTTTTGAGAATTAAAAATATTTACATCTCTGTTAATGAAACAGTTATGTCAATCTTGTGATTCTAATATGTAGAACAGTTAACTTACTGACACATTTAGAGATAATACTATGCCAAAAGGAAAATTACATCTCAACCCTAACATCTGCGTTAGGGAAAAATTTCATATGATTGAATTAATTTCTGTCACTTACCTCATTTCACAAGACAACAAAGTGTAAACCAACACTACAACACCGGACAGCACTAGAAAAAGCATTTCCTGCTACTTTTACTTCAAAACTGCTACTCAACTACCAATGGGTCATGTCAGTACCGCATCCAGTATTGTATCAAGTAACTGTATAAATCATCTTCCATATTAACTTTTAAATGTAATATGTCAAGTTAATAATTTGTCATGAAAACCTTGTATGCAAAAACACAGCGACATAAAATTGCTGTTATCATGAAACAGCGCTTCATTTTTATTGTTTACCAGCCTTCTAATCTTCACTTTACAGTGACAGTCATTCCATAGATACTACACATCAGTAATTATATATCTGATAAATTACCCTCTTTGTATATTCAGCTTTCTGATCAAGCCGAATAGGTTTCACGAAAATGTAACAAATAATTACTCTTAAATCTCCACATAAGTTCTCTAAACAAATACCTCAGTGGCCTTATTTCTTTGGAATGAGGTTTCAAATGACAAACTCTTTGCATATTATCTTTAGAGTTGTTTTGGTAGAAGTAAGGGTCACAAAGTCTTTCTGAAAGAGCCATATAGCCTTCAAGGGCTGACCAACATTTTGTTTTCTTAATAAAACAGGTTATAGAAACAGCAGCTGTTTTTGCTCTAACCTAATTTAACACCATATTTAATACCATACTGCATAAATAATGAACCCAATAGTATTACCCAATACTGCTTTTCAAGGGTTGAGGATGAAAGCTTCTGTGCTCAGTCAAGCTTAAAAGCAACCTACTCTGATTACTGCACTTTCATGTATTTTGTGGAGCTTCCCTAACTGCTTTCAGTTCACTTTACCCTATCCAGTCACTGCAGAAATAGAAACAAACATTACAAATCCTCATTAGAGCAATAAAATAAATCTGTGCCAACTACCCTATTGATAGTCACACAGATCTTTTTACAGAAGTGGAACTGGGACAATCTGCTTGATCAAGGGAGCCAGATAACATTGTACCTTACAGTAACCCTCACAGGTATGTAAAACAAAGCACTAAATGGATATAAGGTCACTTTGCTGGATCAAAGCTGTTGAGAGTATTTTTGAATGGGTAATGTTGATGGCCATAAATTCTGGTGGAACAGCTTTTGTGCCCCAGCACCATTTCACAACGGGACTGCCCTCAACTAGTCCCAAAATTTTTCCATTTGTCCCTTTCTCACCACAAATTCTACAAGGTCATGTATCCAACTGTTGCTGCCTCATTTACGATGTGGAAGTTGGTCCACATCCCTCTTGCAATTAACTACTTACTGAATTCTTACTCTTTTAATTTTCTATTAACTGTATTGACTACCATCCCTTCAATATAAAAAGCTCTACAGGCCTCTCTTTGCTTATTGTAGATCACTTCAAATGACTTACACGTACAACAGCTTGATTTACCCACACTAAATGACAGCATAGATCCACTGATCACCATGAACGACAATGGAAACTTACTCTTATGTAGTCTAAACCCTATTTACCTGTAAGATTCTGTAACTACAAAAAAAATTTTCATAAACAGATAAATTTTAATAAAGCCATATAAAGTCTCTGTCCCCTATATTATCTTTGAAACTCACGAAATGCTGAAACAGATCAAATAGTTTATCTCACCAAAATGCTCACTAAACCACAAAATATCAGAGAGTATCTGAAAGACAAGTCAATTATGGTACAAGTACACTTCCATGAACATACATGGATTCACTACCTGTTACCCTACTGTTACGACCAAACAATCTTTCAGTTATCACACAGAAAAAAAAAAAAAAAAGAAAGCAAATGTTATTTGAGTCCTAAATTAAGTATTTGATAAATAAGACTAATAATCTTAAATCAAATATATATAGATATATGCATCACTTATTTGAACGCAGTAACTCTGATTTTGCATGAAGTTTTTAAAAGTTCATAGCTGGCAGTGCTAAATATGAAATTTAGCTCAAAGGTTTTATCAAACTTGAAATATTTTGTTTCTCCCCTAACTAGCTTACTGAAGGTAGATGTTTTCTTTAAACACAGTTCTGCCTTACTGCTTGTTCTATTTTCTTGTCAATAGCAATTGCAATACTACTTGCAAACTCCCTAAAACAAAGGGAAAACTTTCTATTTGCATTATGGGACAGCTTGTCCACTTTGGGGCTATATAACATAAAAATTAGTAAAGTGTGATTTGCCAGGCTACTTATTCTATGCTTCTAAAAAACATCATGAAATTTACACAGCAAACCTTATAAGACCAGGTGTAATCATGCGATGCCTTTGTATAACACATGGGGAACGGGCTGAAGGAGTTGGGTCCCAGTTTTTCACAGCTAAGTATTATCATTTTCTCAGAAAAAAAAAAAGTATGTCTTACTAAAATCTTTGCTCTCATTCTTTTTTTGTAAACTGTTTTCCCTTCCATCTACTGTAGGTGCATACTTAGAATTTAAATATATGTTTAAAGTCAGCATGAACTCTGAGAATTTTGTTGAAATTCTCAATTTCATGCCAGAAGTAACGAACTGTGGGAAATCCCACCTAGACAAGTACTAAAAGGTGCACAAAACTCTTCCCAATGAATTTCAGGATCTTACTTGCCTGAGTTTATATGGAAGAAAGCACAGAAATCACCCTGCTTGGACTATTAAAAAAATCAATATTAAATCTTACTTTGATATAGTTTATCATTCAGTATTGTTGGTCTGTTGGGGATTTCTACCTTAAGTAATGCAGTACTATGTAGAGGTACTTAAATCAGTATTATATAAGCTGTCTGGAGTTCCAGAGGTAACAGAGCTCCATCAACGTGGCGTTCTAAGAAAAAGGGTAGCCAATATAATGTTCTGCCATGGCTAAGTGTGTCTACGACTCTTTAGGGAAAAATCAACACATGAGAGTTTACTTTCAGCTGTTGAAACTAGGCTGTATAAGAAGCCCTAAATGCCCAAATCCATCTTCACTGCACTAAATAGCTTTGGTTACTCCACCCTCGTCACAGAATTCAGGCTAACCTAGTATGGTTGCTCTTGCCTCCTGCTATGACATGCAAAGAAAAATCGGATTAGCAGCACAGAGTGACTCAATGACCAGTGGCTTTGTCAGCAGCAGCTGATTTAACTCAAAAAAATTCCTGCAGCATCACTAATTAATCCACAGAACTGGAATTTCAAAGAAGTCGCATGGACTAGCCAACTAATTCTATGCTTACAGCATCATTTAACTCAAGTTAGAGCTTTCTGTGTGGAAACAGTAGAGTAAGAGCACAGTGACGGCCAGTCTTAAAAGGCAGGCGTTTGCAACAGTTCATGTAAAAGGAAAACAGTTTTATCTCTTACCTATCAGACCTTTCTCAAGAGTAAAGGTTTTGTTCGTGAACATGCATTCAAATGCCACAATATGGAAAACTTTGTTCACTGTGTTGTGGGTCCCAACAATCCGAATATACCTATAGGGGAAAAAAAAAAGGTAAGTAGCACAAGTTAAGCATGACAAACTTCTATGCACTAAAATATAAATGATTCAGTTGGACTATATTGTGCAGACCCGTAAGAACTGAGTAACTGTTAAAAAAAAAAAATTAAAATAATAAAAGGAGTAAAAAGAGTATAAATTTCACAGCAAACTTGCATCTACTCAGGATGCTGGCTCCAGTACAATTTAAGGAAAAAAAAATAATTAGAGCCATGAAATCTATCAAAGATCTTTCTGGACTAATTTGCCGAGAAAAGCAAAATGACGGAACTTGTGGTTCAGAAATGGTCTTTTAGTGCAAATGTGTGCTCATGGAGGCTTGAAATAATAATAATAACAACAACAACAACAACAACAACAACAACAACAACAACATCAACAACAACAATAATAATCTCTTTACCAACTGCTTTTCACCACAGTGAAAGATTTCATACAGCCAGGACAAACCCAACAAATCAGTGAGGCTTCTCTGCAGAAGCCAAAAATTAATTCCGTTTTAATGTGACTGTTTCTAATTCTAACACTGGATGTACAGGATATCAATGTCTTTGTTGGGGTATCTTTTATTAATAACAAAAAAAAATCTGAACAGTCAAGTGTTATGAAACAAAGCTAGCTCCAGGTTTCATTCCTGGTTATATAACTTATCCTTCTAGACTATAATTGAAAATCAAATAGAGCTGCTCTTGAACACTGTGACCTATTCACCTTCTGTATTACCCTGGAGGCTTCACCTTCTACAAACAGCCATTAACCTTGATTCAGTCTGATTCCCACATTTTCTGAAGAGATCCAACTGTTCTTACTATAAATTTTGAAAAATCCTAAATGGAATATTGTACACCATGTCAATAAATGTTGAACAAGCAACACAGAAAACTACCTAAACCAAATACCATTACCCCACAAAATGTGTTACCCACACTGCAGAAAGCTTTGCATTAAATGAACTCATTTCAATTAAGAAGTATCAGAATGTATGAATCTTAGGCAATATCCTCGGTCTGCAGTATAAAACAACCTTTCACTTACGTAGTATAATTATAGTTCCAACATAATAGCTGCTCACCAACAGCATCATTTTGGCTTGTGTTCTTCATCATACCAAGTTGAAAAGATACACAGGTTTCAGTCCTGAGATATTTTTTTAAACAATAAAAAAAACCTCATAGCTATTTACCATATTAATGTTTAACCTCCTCCTACACTTTAAAACTCGAGTGCCTTATGAAAGAGCTCTTATAAGCAAGCCTCAATGACTGTTATTACTGATATTCATTTGTCTTTACCATACACAGAAAAAATCTTCTAGAAAAATAATTTAAAACAATCCACTTATTACATGCAAATGACTGCAAGAGACAACTAAGTTACCTGAATATCATGACATCACTAAAATTGCCAGTTTTTGACCTCTGCTCCTTTTAGCTTATATAAGTTTCATTTTAAAAACCCAACTATTATATATTTTGATTAAAATTACAAAACTGATACACAATATGCTCAAAATTTCACTTTAAAAAAATATTTTAATTATCATGACTTGAAACAAAAAAAAAATTATATGCTATTCCCTAATTAATATTAACTCGCAGATCAATTCATTATCACAGTAGCAAATTTCCTGCAAGTCATCCTATATAGACAAAGTAAAAGTTGCAGAACTGGAGAAAATATTTATTTTTCATAAAGAAGGTGAACCCATATTTTAAGAGTAAAGCAGAACTTAGCCCTCACTATGTAACTGTGACAAGTGCCTGCAAAGAGCATCGCGGGAATCCTGGTTGACAGCCAGGGAAACAGCAGTTCTTTCCCCAGACTCGCCCATGTGAACCAGGCAGTTGCTGCGAGGTGATAGATGAAATGCCGTATTTTGGGATTCACGTTATGAAGGCAAAACTGCATCAGCCTCAGTTTTTCTTAACACGCTGAGGACGATTTGCAGTGCTTTTTGCAAGTGACGCACAGTCAGGTACAGCCATAGCAAAAGCACGGTAGACACACAGGACCAAGACCCCAAGGTTTCTACTCACAAAGCTGACCTTCTGCAAAACTGACGCTGAAGATCTACTGAAAGGATTATAATTAAATTATTCAGGGGACTAACAGTTTGCTGTTCAGAGAAAGTTAACCTGAAATTTGAAAGAATCGTGCAGTTTTAGGAGGCCTTGTAGACATCTTCAGCTAAGGGTATGCCTCCTCCTTGAAGTTACAGGCACAGTCGTATTTGACCCAGTCTTTTCAGCTCATTTTCTTTTTGTCAGTTCACAAGCACAGTATGAACACTAAATACGCAGGCAACGATGACCAGGATCCGACACCAGTACATGTTCTCGTTCTATCTAGCATCAGAAGCGCTGAATTTGACTAAACACAGGAACAATCTTGGAACATTTATAAGTGCACGCGGAGACTGGCTCACCGTAGAGACTCCCTCGTCTCTCTCAGGCAAGGAAGGCATTGATTGAGTTGTGCTGCCTGGACAAAACACGCTCTAGGCTAACTAACAGGGTGTTACTAATGGAGATACTTTGACATACTTCAGTTACGCTTCCTTGCTTTAAAGAGTTTAGAGAATAAACAAAGTAACTATTAATAGGAACACAAGAAACTGCTTCATAATTAGGTTTAAAAGCTAATTTATTTAGATTTTTTGTGTTATGAAATTGCAACACTAGAGCAAACTTCTTGATTGGTTTTGGCTTGTTTTGTTTTTTTTGTTGTTGTTTGTTTGGGTTTTTTTAATATATCAAAAGGGTGGAAGTCACACAAAACTTGAATAGTTTGCCATGGGAAAAGCGTCTTTATCATACTGAACACTTAGGTTAAATAATATATAACTCACTGGTTAGCAAAGTTCTCTGCCAACAGGTAAAAAGGAACAAAGCTTATTCTTGTATGCTGAATAGCCTATCAGTTATTTTGAACAACAGGTGACAATGTTTCGCATTGCTGGAAAGCTGAAATTTTATAGTAATGTAAAGCAAAATCCCATCCATTAAAATAATCATGTATACATTAATCTTCTAAAGTATATTATTTCGATGTTGTAATGTTATGGGCAAGGTTGAATGGAATGATATGACAAACCCTATCCTTTCTCCCCAGTACAATACATATATTTTATTATTTCCTTATGTCTCTCAAGGTGAATGATCAGCGTGATTTCCTGCCTGAATCTGGCATTCTTCTACTTGGTGGAAATTAAAATAACACAATCTTCAAAATTACATTAAACACCTTAACTTCTAAAATCACATTCTCAGATTTTGCACAAAAATTGTAGTTTATTATTCCACTTGATGCAAGAGACCAAAGCCGCCGTAGCCTGAGACTGTAAAAATAATCTTCCTTCAAATAAGGCAGAATTTGTCAGAAATGCCCAGTACCGCTAGGGAAACAAGCTGTATCCAAATTTCAAGTATCACCAATGAAGAGCAATATTGAAGGTACATGACCTGTTTCGGAAGAGTCAGATGAAGACATTGTAAATACTGAAGTAGTACATCTTAATGAGAAGAACACTAAACAATGGACTGAAAACAAAGAGTTGGCTCAGAAATGCAGTAGTGAGGAAAAACTGCAGTGTGGACAACTTCAATATGAGCAACAAAGTCTTAATTCAAAGCATACAGATTTCAGAAATTTAAAATGCCTATTATAGCTCACGACATGCTTGAAAATTTGTACATTTTTCTAAGCAGTTTTCTGCCAGATGGAAATGCAACTGAGTCGTGATTAAAAATAAAAGTATCCTTCAGGCAATCAGACTGTGTGTACCATCTCATCATTTTCCTGGAGCGATTTATTAAGTTGGAATATAAAAGTACAGGTAACAAAATTAATATGAACAATTTTTCAGTACATGCAACTGTGACAAATTCTTAAAAAGCATGGAACATGTTTTACGTGATCACTCACTAAGTTTCTAAAACATACTGTAGTGGTTTTGGCTAGGACAGAGTTAAAGTTCTTCATAGTAGCTGGTATGGGGCTATGTTTGGATTTGTGCTGGAAACAGTGTTGATAACACAAGGATGTTTTCGTTACTGCTGAGCAGTGCTTACACACAGTCAAGCCCTTTTCTGCTCCTCACCCCACCCCACCAGCGAGCAGGCTGGGGGTGCACAAGAAGTCGGGAGGGGACACAGCCAGGACAGCTGACCCCAACTGACCAAAGGGATATTCCCTACCAGGAAGGGGCAACGTTCAGAGTGATGGGGTTTGTCTTCCCAAGTAACTGTTACACATGATGGAGCCCTGCTTTCCTGGAGATGGCTGAGCACCTGCCTGCCGATGGGAAGCAGTGAATGAATTCCTTGTTTTGCTTTGCTTGTGTGTGCAGCTTTTGCTTTACCTATTAAACCGTCTTTACCTCAACCCACAAGTTTTCGCGCTTTTACCCTTCCGATTCTCCCTCCTATCCCGCTGTGGGGGAGTGAGCGAGTGGCTGTGTGGGGCTGAGCTGCCCGCTGGGGTTAGCCCACAACACCATGATACTGCTTTTGGCTCTGAATGGCAGCGCAGCAACAGGTAAGGCTCTCCGACTTTGCTAACAGGCCTAAGATACAGGCAACCGAGAATTAAGCACCATAAAATCTAACAGCCTTCTGGTTCCCACAAGCAAATCTGCATCAAGTGGCAAGAGTATCATATCTGGAGATAATTAGGTAACACTGACAGAGATGAGATCAGTGAGCAGGCTCTGTGTACAACTGTCTACAGCAAGCTAGGAAGAAAGGGGTCAGGCCAGATGTGTGTCTGAAAGTCTATCCTTCTCTCCATCGAGTGTAGGGAGATCCTTCTGTGAACTTGGACTCCAAAGCTGGGACCCTTTTCTGAGGAACTGCTGTGAATACTGGTGCTGATAATCCCTCTTTATATAATGATCTCTTCTTTAAGGCGCTTGCTCAGAAAGAGATTGAAGTTCAACCCCTTTTTTTAATAGGACTTCAAACCTAAGGAGAGGTC